ACAAACATACATACTATATACATACATACATACATACATACATGCAAATATACATATCTACATACATACCTACATACATACGTACATACAATCAAAATACATCAATACATATATACATACACTTACATGCATTTTTACATACGTACATACATACATACATACATATTTACATACATACATACATACATACATACATACATACATACAACATACATACATACGTACATACATACATACTTACATACCTACATATATGCTTACACAAAAACATATATACATACTTAAACACATAGATAAACATATTCATCACATACCTCCCTTAGACTTCTTCGCCATACTTCTGGTAAATTGCAATTGAGCTCCGATACCTTGCACATTGCTTTCTCCAAGCATAGATGTTCGCGTGTTTACATCCGATCTATTAATAAGAACGTGCAACTGCTGCGCCTGTAGTCTGCATAGTGGCTGCAGAATAACCTTACGCTGGTACAAGCCTGCACGAAGCGCTGTTCTCAACATGATGCCGGTAGTAAAGCGCAGTAAGTAAGACTAATACAAGACATCTAGCCCCATTTATTTTTGTAATCTCTCTACTATAGAGAGTAGTAGAGCTGTTTTTATTGGCCCCACACGCTCTCTGGCTTTGGCCACCAAATTTCGGCCTTCTTCTAGAACTACTGCAGCGTTGTAAGGTTTTACGTACTATGTAGTAGTACTTAAATGTTGTAGTTCTTATATTATTGTGTTTTTCAGTATATATATGTACTAGCGTATCCGGCCAAGTGGTTAGCTGCGTTGAACAGCATAACATGACTTGATGCAGGTGATGTTGTAGACGCTGGAGCCAACAAAGCGGCACATAGAGCTTCCACTATATCTTCTGCACGGGACAGGGCCGAATAGATAGAGTAGGCTCATTTGTTAATGTACCAGGTGGATACGACCTGAAAATATATTGAATCGTGGTACATATATGTGCAGCAATCGATTATAAGTCTACTGACATATTACATACAATAAAGTATGGCTGTAAGTGCTGTAGCAGCAAGCAGCACTGCTTCTAATAGAAATAACCCGCCAGTTAAGGGCAGCGGAACAGTGCCGTGTGCACGATGGCGGCAGATAGACGACCCACTGTTGATTACAAATATGGAGCAGCTGGAGAGTGCTGCTCTGGTGCACAAGTGCACGCAATTCTCACAGGTATGAACTTATAACTGTTTTTATGTTTGCATATGTACATATTTGTTCGTTATCAGTGATGTATATGGTTGGAAGTAAACAAATTTTATGTATACCTGTATAACATGTATACATATACATATACATATACATACTTATACACACACCCT